AAAAAAAATCAAATGATTACACACTGTGGTTTAAAAAATCATTCTTTTATTTAATAAAATAATTCAAAAACCTTCATTCATATTTTAGTTGCGATTCGATAATTTTTTCTTAAATCACTTTTTTGAGTTCTGATGTTTTTGACAACTTTTTATGAAGTTAATTTTGATGATTGATAGGATATAATATATGCTTATTTAATGACTAACTCCCCCCCGAAAGGGTTCCCACCTTGTAGTAGTCGCGGGGCGGGGGCCCGTGGGTCGCCGGGCCCCTGGGGTGCCCGTGGTCCGCACTCCCCGCGGTAATATGACACGAGACCCACATTCGACCTGCGAAGGCAGGTACGGGGCCTCGAGGTAGAAAAACCGACTGGGGGAATATTTGACCACATCCAGGTACGCCTGGTGCTCTCGGGGGCTGCGGGCTCCCGTGCCGGGGCGGGTGGGTGGGGCTTACGGTCGCAAACGTGGTCCTCCCGCTCAGGGGGGGCACGTGGGTGACCAACTAAGAGGAACCCCCCAAGCTAGGGTGTAAGCTACCGTGCCTGGAGCTGCATGGCGCAGGGGGAGCTGCGTCGTAAACGGTGCCTCCTGGATACCGGGCGAACTCCAGGAGTACGGAGCCAAGCCCCGGGCATTCGCGGCTCTGCTCGGGTGAGATCGCGCGACCGCGGTACTCGTGGGAACAACATGGATAGCACGAATTTAAACAAAAATATTAATAAAGTCCTCTCGGGGGTGCCTTCCCTAGGAAGCGAACAACCGGAGGAGAAAAAAGCAGCAAGTGCGGGTCTACCTAAGACCCGCATTCGCTACAGCGGGGCTGCAAGGCGCCGCTACAAAAAGGAGAAGGAGAGGGCTGAGAAAGCCATCTCTTTTCCTCCTTCAAGTACTCCTACTCCGCCGGGCGGGGAGAGTGGTGCGACGGTGGTCACGCAGAAGTGTGACAGACCGGTGCATCAAACGCCCAGTCCGACGGAGAATCGCCCGGGCAAGAGACCCAAGGTCACTGACCAAGGGTCGTATGCCCAGGCGATTAAGGGCATGATCAGGATGGCCTTCGTTCCAGAAGGCTATCCTGAGAAAAAACTGGGTGCCAGTGAGGTGGAGGAGATCAGGCGACTGGTCAGGAGGCACATCCTCGAACTTCCCGAGGATGGACTAGCGCCCACCTTTAATGGCACCTGGGAGAAGGATGGCGCAGTTATATTTAACTGCGTCAATCAACAGACGGTGGACTGGTTGAAAAGCCTTTCCACCGTAGTTAAAATCGGAAGCACCACTCTACATGTGCTACCAGCTGAGGAGCTACCCAAGCGCTATCGGATGATAGTACAGAGGAATCGGATTTGGCTGCCGAGGAAGCTGTAAAGCTCCTCGACAGACAAAACGCGGATCTGGGCGCCAAGGAGTGGATCGTCGTGAGGGGGAGCGAAAGTAGGGACTCGAAAAGCGCCCACTTCGATGCTTTGATCGGCGATCGCTCACTGGAGGCCCTTAAGACCTGTGGTTTTAAACCCTTCTGCGGGATGGGTTGCTCAACAAAGAACGTAAGGAGGGAATGACTGCCGGTGCGAGCGGGTCAGCTTAAAAAATGGCGGGGCTCGCGGTACCAATAGTCCAAATTAACTTGCATCACAGCAAAGGCGCCTCGGTGATTCTAGCCAGGAGCATGGCTGTGATGCAGACAGCAATATCAATAATTCAGAAGCCTTGGCTCCTGAATAACGCTATAAAGGGTCTGAGTGGCTGTGGAACTATCTACAAAACAGACACTCAGAACAAAATTAGGACAAAAACAAACACTCAGAACAAAATTAGGACCTGCATTGTAATTAAGGGACTAAATGCTATTTTTATGTCACAGCTCAGCGATGGAGAATACCGGCTATGTGGAGAAGAAAGCGAGGACAACCTGCACCTACTGTACCGATTCCCTGTGTACTCGCTTGTAAAAGGTATAAATCCTGGGTACACATGTTTATGACACCCAAGGATCTAGAAAATGCGAAGGTCAGCAGTCTAATAAGTCTGGTAAGTGATACGAGGCTGGACTCGACTGGATGACCTACGGAACAAGTAGGGAGCGACAATAGAACCTTATGGGATCT